CTTGACAAGTACCTTCTTCTAATTTCTTTGGATATTATCAAGTATGGTTCCCTGTAATCTAATGCTTTACTGACCAATTCATAGCAAACCGACAGCTGAAATTTTTTCCCTACACCTCTCTGCATTTTGTATTTTGAGTCCATCTGTGATGATTTTAATATCAATTTGCCATGAACTAGAATCCTCTGAGTAGGGACCATCAAATGAGGAATTTTCCTGATCATGTTTGTTGATGTGTGAAAACACACCTCAAACGTGGGCTGTACCTCAGGACTGAGAAACTACCAGACTCTCAGCCTCTCAGGTGTGAGATAGCTGTTGTTATCATTACAGTGTAAACTGGTCTAATAAATTCTACATACACATATACACACAGACATATGCTTTTCACTTTCGGATTTTCTGTTACCTGAGAAGCATCTGATTTTCAAGTGTTTTGTTTTTCTCCTATACAGAAAACAATGAGTTAAAACTAAATTATAAACTCTGTCATTTTCTCAATTATAGGTAGGGTTTTAGGGACCATTCCTTTCTAAATTCTAAGGGAACAGTTGGGCATACTGATTAGCCAGAGGAGAATGTAGCATACAGAATGTAGCATACAGTCCACAGAGAAAAAAACCGACTCAAGTCCGTGGCTTCCCCTACTGTGCATTTTGGTGGTAAATCTGAAAGGAAGACCAAACAGAACAAAAAGTGGCCAGGAAAGTGTATGTTGCGAGATGTGAAGATTAACAGTATCCAGTGGTTCAGCATCAGGAGAACAGCTCTGAGTGCCTGGGTGTCAATCAATGACCTCAGAGACCTTCTGAACACAGTGCCCTACCGGTCGGTCGATTTTGCTTGTAAAGTTCATGTTCACTCTCGTGCCCAACTAATGGGAATTTGTTATATTCTAATCATCTGTGTCATTAAAAAGAGAGAGCTAGAGTAAAAATGAGAGAGTGAGAGATCGAGAGAGAAAGCAAAAGCTCAGGAGAAGAAAAAGGCTTGTAAAGACCAGCAGACTCACGCCGGAACGTGGACAATATTTTGGAACTTCTTGAGGCTTGGGGATTGGATTATTTTAAGTCAATTGCATTTTCATCTAAAGGCAGCTTGAGCATCACTTGGGTTGTTGGGAGCCTGTTGGTGTGTTTGTGTGACGTCACTCTGCACTTTCAACTGACAACCTGCCCTCTGCTTGCTGTCCCTTCTTACCGTTTCCAGTTTCCACTTCCTCCTACCGGTGGCTCCTATGTGCACTTTGTTGTGTTACGTGTCCTGTCCAGTTTATCTTTCATCAACAAACGCCCCATGTTAGAATTTTTAGCAGGCCTCTGAAGAGATCAAGGCTGGCTAGTGTCTGCTCCCTGACCTGGGCAGACACTGGGGATGGGAAGGCCCCTGAGTGCTTTTGTTCTGGTGGTGGAATCGAATGACTGGGCTTATTTCCTCTAAAGCTTTAGGAACACATGGTTAGAAGAATTTATCACATTTGCTTGGAACAGAAATGCCAAACTGTCAAAATCCTTAAAATGTTCTCTATAACAACTTTTAGAAAAAGCTATAAAGAAAAGAGGAACACATAAACACCATAGAGAGGTCAAATACAAATGTCAAAATAGGTACCATAGAGTAGGATGCAGCCATGTTTTCCCCCACGGTAATCTTAATTCCATTTGGAATTTAATTTATGTAAGTTCTTTGAAGTTCCATTCAGAATAACTTGCTGCCGATAATTGGTTTATTTATTTAATTAAATTAATTTATTTATATGTATGGGTGTCCATGTCCCGTAGCCCATGTGTGGAATTCAGAGGACAACTTGGGAGAGTTTGTTCTCTCCTTCTATCATATGGGGCCCAGGGATGAAACTCAGGTTGTTAGGCTTGGAGGCAGATGTCTCTACACACTGAGCTACCTTGCTGGGCCCTCTTTTATTCTTTTTACTTGTGTGTGTATATTTTATTGTACATACTTATGTGTTCACATGTGTCGGGTGTACATACATACATGTGCACATGTGTACAGGTGGGAAGAGCAAGTCAATGTATGGTGTCTGCATCAATTTCTCACCACCTTATTTTTTGAGACAAGATCTCTCACTGGACCTGGAGTCCAAATGATTCAGCTAAACTGACTGCCCAGTAATCCCCAGGTATCCTCTTGTCTCTTAGCCTCTGGAGTTACAGGCATGCACTACCATGCTTGGCTTTTTATGACTGTTCTGGGAATCTGAACTCAGGTCCTCTTGCTTGTGCAGCAAGTATAGTACCAAATGAACCATCTCCCAGCTTATTTTCTCTTTCTTTAGGTTGACTTGTTGCTAAGCTATAGGATTAAACCATCATGTATCAGGGAGGGAGTTGAAAGTAATTTTAAAATACATCCTAATGTACTAAATTTTTAAATTATGCCACTTAGGGCCAGCGAGATGGCTTAGCAGGTAAAGATGTTTGCTGTGCAAAGCTTGGACACTTGAGTTGCACCCCCAGAACTGAGGCAAAGGGGGAAGGATAGACCCAACTCCACAAGCTGCCCTCTGACCTCCACATGCCCACCTAGGCATGTGCACGCCCTCCCATATGCACACATCATGTATACACAAATAAAAATGTTTTAAAATTTTATTTTATAATTCCTTTATTTAACATTCATAACCCAAACCATTGTAATGGCTAACCTCGTTAGAGATGTACAATCACATTTTAAAGATTGGAACATTTCATGTGATTTAACTTCTACTTTCAGAAAGTTTTGTTAGTTTGTTACAGCAAATCTGACTCCCTTCTTGCAACTATGACAGTTCTTTTTTTTCTGTAAACTTCTCATTGAATTTTTGTGAATTGCATTTTCAACTTGATCGTCTTTATATCCTTCCCCATTGACAGCCTCTTATAAACCTCCCCACTGGATTTCCTGCATTCTGTAATTTGTGTTAAGGTCTACTGAGTCAAGTTAGTATCTCCAGATGTCCCTCAGTGCAAGTTCATCCACTGCACTGAGGTCTACTCAGCCTCTAGAGTCCCTCCCTTTAAGAAGACCAGCACTTCCTCATGCAGCTGTAATCAGCTGCCAATAGTTCTTTGGCTAAGATTGGGGTCTGCTGCCCATGTCCACAGTTCTACGCTGGGTGTTTGTCTGCTTGAATTTGCATGGGTGTTATACATGCTGAGACCATTGCTGTAAGTTCATTGAGCAAGGTCCCAGGAACCTGTAAGGCTCAATTTCCTTATGGTCATGAACCTCCCCTCTGGCTCTTAAAATATTTCTGCCCCCTCTTCTACAAGGGTCCCTGAACCCTGGGTGGGTAAAGTCTAATATAGCAGTCCTGTCCAAGGACCCAAACTCTGCAGACTATTATTCTCTAAGCTTTAGCCATTTGTGTCCTTTTGTGTTCATGGCCCTCTGTTGCATGAGGGAGCTTCACTGATGAGAGTTGAGAGATGGTAGAATTCTCTCTACCCCTAGTTCCACTAAATTCTGGGAGCCTTGGGTGTAGAGGTTCCATCATAGATGTGTCACTTAGGGTTGGGAAATTCATAGACAATCTCTGTGTGTGACCAGTTGTAGAACTTTGTAATAATCTCTACCTGTTGCAAAAGAAGCTTCCTTGGTAAGTGGTGACTGACATATTTGTCTGTAAATATAAGGATCCACATTTTGGACATAGTAAGAAATTACATTTGTTTAGGGATGTGATAGCCTTGGAGTTTTTTCTAAGATCTATGACCTCTCCAGCCATGTGTATTTGGCTGTGTTTATAGTACACACATGTGTTTCCTTCCATTGAGTGGGCTCTATGTCTAAATATTCCCCAAGATAAAAGTGTCACTGCTACCCCTAAAATGACTGTTGTGCTGGTCATTGTTGTGGTTATTAGTTTTAAAAGCTGGGGTTGGACCATTGATTGATTTTTTTTCCCCTTAGCAACTTGCAAAGTATCCTCTGGAACTATGAGAGCTAGCCTTCAGGGGAGGTGGCTTCCAGTCAGTTCCAGCTCCATTGCTCCAAGTTTTGTGTCTGAAGTATGCCCTGTCTTCATCAATAGGGTCTTACTTTTAAGTTCTTCGAGATGATCAAGGGCTGTGGCAATAGCCTGTGTAAATTTTGGGAGTCTCTTGGACTACCCTGGCCAACAACTCAAAGGAAGATTTCTCCTGACAGTTAATTTTACATGGTGTTAATTTGACTGTTCCACAAGGTGCCTGATAATCAATGGCCCACATTATTCAGGGTGGTTCTGTGTTCTGAAATGAGATCTGTCTTTGGTACATCAGACTGCGTAAAACAGGCTGCCTCCATGATGATGAGAGTGGCCTCATCCAGTTAAGCCGTGAGTAGAAAAGAAAGGCTGACCCTTTGCTGCTCAGTGACAGAGATACTGTTTTCCTAATGGCTTTGAACTGCAACGTAGACTTAAACTGAGACTTTGGATCTGGAATGTGGTAGCCTTTGGATGGCAATTAAACCAGAAGCTCTAATGGTTCTCAGCTTTTGGATGTGGATAGAGCCAAATCTGGGTATCCAGCTTGTCAACTTGATCTGAAGATTTTCAGACTGTCAGCTTCCATAATTAATGTGAATGGCCTACATCTCACGAATGTACATAGGTGCTTACACAGACTATATCTGTTTCTCTGGAGAAGCCATGGCAGAACAGTCTCATTGCTCATTCTATAGTCCTCTTTTTCCTGGAGGCCAGAAGGTAGAGAGAGAACCAAGGGAAAAAATACAGTGAGTGTAGTTTCTCAAAGAGAGTGGAAGGGAGGCGATGTAGGGACAAGGAAGAGGGTTAGTGGAGGGGTGTGAGGAGCAAGTAATGAGGGGGCCAACATGAGAAAAGTACAGTGACAGACATTCATGAAAATGTTATAAAGAAGACTGTCCTGTACACTTACTAAAGGATTATGAATAAAGGGAGAGCAGAAGGAATAGGAATGGCAAACATCTGGGAGTGAAACTTTGGGAGAGAAGAAACAGAAGCTTGGGGAGTTATGATTCATGTGGGGACATACGGTTAATAGGAGACAGGTTAGCTCTCCCGTCTCCAGACAGGCTTCAGGGAAATAAGATGTGCAGCGCAGCTTCTCACTCATGAGTAGCCCTTTAGAAAAGTCAAAGAATATCACACTGGAAATCCTTACATCTGCGTCAATGTTTTCTTTGGGTGGGGGAGGTGTAGGATTAACTATCAGCATGCTAACCTTCAGGGATTTAAGATTTCACCACTCTGAAAAACTCTTTTTAAAGCTAAAAAGGGGAAGGGGTGAGATGACTTACTGGGTGAAAGTGCTTGTTGACAAGACTGAGTGACAACCTGAGTTCAATCCTCAGGACCCAAATAGTAGAAGGAGAGCACCAACTCCTCCCAGTTTTGACCTTCACATGCATGCTGTGGCATGTGTGTGGACAGACAGACAGACAATGTAATACAAGCTTCTTTCTTTTAAAAATTTTATTATTTTTATTTTATTTGTTAAGTGTATTGTCTGCATGTGTACAAATGCACCTGTGTCTTGTCATGCCCATAGAGGTCAGAAGAGGTTATCAGATCCCCTGGAACTGGAGTTACAGAAGGTTGTTAGCTGCCAGGTGGGTGCCGGGAATCGAACCTGGGTCCTCTTCAAGAACAGCCAGTGCCCTTAACAACTGAACCATCTCTCCAGCCCCACAAACTTCATTTTAATTGAAAAGGAAATCCCATAGTTGAAGACCAGTTACACTCCCCTCCGGCCCCGCCCTGGATTTTCCTTACATCTTCCTAGTCCTAAATGATACATGAATGGGGAGCTTTGATCAAATCTACTTGACCTCTGCCTTCCCACCACAACTTTCAGATCACCTCTAGGCAGAGCTCTGGCTGCTGCAAAATTGAGAGTGTGGGAAGCAGGGGTGCATTGGTTCCCTTTTAGATTTCAGAGTCAGAAAAGAAGAGTAAGGAAAAGCAATTTAGGCGAGGCCAAAAATTCTATCTAGAAAGTACAGAATTAAAAGCCCAAATTCTGAAAGGAAATGGGCACGTGCTTGATCCCGGGACCACTTACACAGAGAGACAGTACGACCAGGGGCAGCCTGGGTGGGCGATGCTCTGTTAGCAGGAACAGAGTGCATCTGGGCTCACACACAGGGCAGTGCCTGCCTCCTGCCTCCCTTCATCACCACTCGTGTCTGCTGATGAAAACCTCCACCCAAACCAGAAACAAAAGGGGGAGCTTAAAGATAATGGCAGCAGTGCTTTCCAACCAAGTTAAAATTCTTCAAACAAGCATGTGGCAGATGAAAACTAGACTGAATCCAAAGCACAGGAGAAACGCACAAAAAATAGGAAGAAATGAAATGGGTGTGGATTGGTTGCAGGAAAAAGAAAACTAAAATCAAACAAGAAATAGAATAAATCACAAAGTGCCCCAAAGAGAATAGATTAGGACAAGAAAATGTTAGCAGAGTTCTCAAGAACAATAAAACAATCAAGAAAACAAAAACGAAATAAATCAAGAACTAAAAACGTTCTGAGAAATGGATTGCATTGCATGTATGACTTTCTCAAAGAATTAAAAATATTGTATTAAAAAAGTTGATCTAGTGAGATGGCTAGCAGTTAAGAGTGCTTGCTGCTCTTTCAAAGGCCCTGAGTGGATTCCCAACAGTTCATGCCCTGTTCTCACCTCCAAAGGCACCATGCCTATCACACATATTCACACAAATAGAAAATAAAATAAATCTTGGAAAAAAAGTTCAGAGAAAATGTGGTTGAAATGGATTTCAGGCAGAGAGTCTAATATGTTAAATTGCTGCTGTGGGCAGTTTTTAAAAATGTAACAGAACCAAGATTTAAAATGCTTATATTTCTGGAAATGTCTTAATCGACACATAGAAGGATGAAAACTGACCTGAAATACTCTGCCTTGGTACATAATTTAACAAGAAAGCTACTGGATTTAAAACTGAAGGAAAAAAAAATCATTAAGATTTCCAGAAAAAAAAGGATAAAAGAATTTACAGGCAAGAGAATTATACTGACGAAAGACTTCTCAGAGACAGCATACATGGAGCCACAGTGAAGTCACATGTTCAAGAAAAGAGTTTTAGGGATGTGAATGTGAATAAGGGACATTATGAACCACCAGACAGCATTCAGATATCAGTACTGTATAGGAAAATGTTGAATGATTCAGAAAATACTACATCCAGTGTGCCTTTTCTGAAAAGTCTCTTGAGGATGTACTTCAACCAACGACAACTGAGGAAATTTGGCAAAAGGATAAACAGTGAGTAGTTCATGTATCTACTCAGAACTCAGACTACACTAATGATGGAAACACTGGGACAAAACCATAACACGGGGAGAACTTTGACTTACAAAGGTAAAGGGTACCACTGAAAATGAGAGAAGGGAGTGAAGCAGAAAAGGTAGGACGGGAACTTTGTCCTTCAGATAATACATGAGAGTCAAAGCAGTAGTGTAGTCAAAGTGTAGACATCAAGAGCCAGGGAGGAGGTGCATGATCATATGGAAACACAGTCCTACAAGCTGCTGGGAACCTGCTCATATGATTCTATGGCAATGGTGTCAGCATGCACAAGTCCCATGCAAGCTCAGGCAGACAGTAACCTAGCATAGAATGGAGAAAATGAACAGCAGACCCCAATTTTATCTATAGGAATGTTGGCAACTGATTGTGGCTAGATGAGGAAGTAATGATCTTCTTAAAACAAGGGACTCTAGATAGGCTGACTAGACTTAGCAGATGGACTTGCATTGGGAAACGACTGGGGGCATTGACAACACAGTGGGCAGTAACAGGGATGACAGAGCATATGGGCTCCAGTGGGGGGCGGGGGGCTATGGGAGGGTGCCAGTGGGGATAGAGGTATAAAGATGATTAAGATTGTTTGAGATGTCTGTATGAAATACACACACACACAAAATCAATTAATGAAAAAAGAGCACATGAAGTTAGGAGGAAAAGGTGGTGGATGGGGTTAGAGAAACTGGAGAGGGAAATGGGCAGATCTGATCAAAATGCATTATATGCATGCATGAAATTCTCAAACAATAAAAAATAATTTTCAACATAACAACAAAAGATTGTTTGAGATGTCTGTATGAAATACACACACACACAAAATCAATTAATGAAAAAAGAGCACATGAAGTTAGGAGGAAAAGGTGGTGGATGGGGTTAGAGAAACTGGAGAGGGAAATGGGCAGATCTGATCAAAATGCATTATATGCATGCATGAAATTCTCAAACAATAAAAAATAATTTTCAACATAACAACAACAACAACAAAATACTCAGGTATAAAAGTTTAA